TTTGTTTCTTTTGAGCTCTCGCATACATACACGACCGCCCTGGGTGTATTGTTGCAGCAAGTTGTTGAATCCTGATGGGTAAAAGCACGAGCTCACCCCTCGCGTGCATTATGTGTGCTAGAGCCGAATCCCTGTTCCTTCAGAATCTGGGTAGTTTGAACAAGTATGTGGCGGGGGTGAGACTAATTGATGACGTCAGCCTGTTCGTAGCCACTGCAAAGATAAGTAGGGCAGAGGTTAATTTCATCTTTGCGTCCTTTGAAGGATGCTATCCGGATAACCTTTGCCTGAAGAGAACGGACGATGGATCCGAGACCTGGGACTTTTTGGGTTGTGAAATACGCACGCAGGAAGTCTTTCCATTCGTTGAATGCGTGCAAGTTTCGAAGAATGAAGCATCCTTGTGGAGTGAGGAAAGTCTGACCTTTCTCAATGGGCAATCCTTCTTATCCTGGGGGAGGAAGTTGCAGAAAAGTGCTGTTCTCGCCAGCCATCTGCATCGGATTGATCTAAACACCTCGGCTAGATATGAAATTCCCCGACGAGTCATCAGCCTGAAGCGCGAGTCAAGACTGAAGGATGTGCCGACGGACTTTTTTGTCCGAGTTGTGAAACGATTTGCACACGGGCGTGATGACCATTGGAAGGTGGCTGTCGACTTGATCCAGTGACTACGCAGTGACAGGGAAGACAGTTTTCCATTTGCCAATTCATGATTTGGCCCATAGGCCTATGGTTTTGTGTTTGCTTCTTGAAATTGTTTTCTTGCCTTTGTTTTGATTAGGCCGTTAAGCAGTTGTTTGCCTGATCCGGTTCTGTAACACAGTACCTGACGCAGTGGCAGGGAGACCCTTGTTGTTGAATCAGTAGGTTGGTTTGTTTTACAGTGTGACCGTTTTTTGTAGCCGGTTTGTCGGGCCTAGGTTCGGTAGTCCTGGCCACGCTGATACGTTTTTCTGACAGAATTTTCTGTTTTTTGGTACTATGAGCCCCTTCAGCCCAGGCCATAGTGACCCTTTGTTTGTTGTGGGTTTGGCTAACAAGTACGGGGATGGCCGCTGTACCTTCTCATTGATATCGACCGCAGGACTTACCAGGATATCCGGTATCTACGGGTATATAAGCAATGATGTAGACAGGATCGTCCTCTTTCGGACCATGGTTGCCTTTTGGTACCGTGGTGGGTTTGTCGGAATGAAAGGTGGTTCCTGGGTGCTGCGGAACGAACGGTTTGCCGAATTTGTACATCTGACCATCTTGTTTTTAACCTGCGTGTGTGCGCTCACATTGTGATTTCATCTATGGTGAATGTTTTCTCTCATATACCAGTGCCCAAGGCTTACATCACTGGGCCCATTTTCCGGCCTGTATAATGGATTAGGTGACTGCTGTATGTACCAGGCCTACCAGGCCTGAGTGCCTGGATCATACCGGAATGCTCAGCGCCTTACGGGAAAAAAAAAAAAAAAACGTTGCTGTAAGGGGTGCTACTTGACACCACAGGCTTTTTATTGTTCACAGAAACAAATGAGAACAAATGAAAAAATTGAAAATAGGAAAACAGAAATGAAAAGAGAAAGGAAAAATTTGTCTGGCGCCCTTGTAATTTCCATAAGTTTGTGTCGCGGCCGATTTTGCCTGTCGCACCCCTCCCACTGACCACTATTGTGGGTTGGGCCTGAATTATTTTTTGTTATGCCCTATCCGTATCCAGTTCCAAATTTGCAGTATGCCCAGCACTGAAAATTTCCATATACCCCTACCCCAATGGGGTCCATCTTTTCAGCACACCTCTATGGCTACATGCATGGCAGCCACTTCATTTCTCTCTCTCTCTCTCTCTCTCTCTCTCTCTCTCTCTCTCTCTCTCTCTCTCACACACACACACACACACACACA